CACAGCCGATCTCGTCTTTTAATGTGCAAAAGGAAAACAAACAAAAAAAAATCATAGTAAGACCGGGACTTCCCAAAGTCAAGTCCAAGTGACGTGAGACCCTGGAGAACTCATAGACATTACGAGAATAAATAAAAATCGAAACCGCCTCTCTCTTTTTTTTTTCTTTTTCTCCCCCGCTTTGTCCCGAAAGGGCAGTTCAAGGTTCGCTTTTTGTTGTTGTTGTTTTTAGACACATTTACAACTCTTACAAGTGCCGGGCTCCTATCTGACCCCGCGATTGCAGATCCCCCCCGAGCCTGGGGCCAGCTCTCAGGGCGAGGTTTAGGCGAGAGCATCTCCGTGTCCCCGAGGCAGCGTCCGCGTCTGTCCCGGCCCGGTGGCGGGCAGCAGAGTCCTGCTCCGGGTGGCCTTTTGCTTCTGCAGGTTTTATGTACATGCACACGAAGGAATCCCCAGTTCCAGCTGCCACCCGGGGAGGGACACGCACACACACACGCCTGTGGGGGTGTGGGTGGGTGTTACATGGCAGTCGCATGTGCTGAAGAATAGGGGTCTATCCCAGTCTTGGTCATGCCTGGGAATAATATGTAGGCAACTGGAGGTTGCAAACTGGAAGCCGACCAAGCGGTACAGTTACATGGCACGACATAGCCCGGGTTAGTTGGCGAGGGGTGAGTGTGGGTGTGTTGGCTGGGGCAGCTCAAGCTGCCAAACGCCCCGTTCTGGTATCCCAAGGTGGAGGCGTAGGGCAGGGTGCTGGTGGCTAAGGTGTGAGGAACCTCAGTCATCTTCTGAATGGCGCTGGAGCTGAACTGGCTGGGGTCAAGTAAGGAGTAAGGTGCTGAGGTGGGAGGCAGGAAAGCCCTGGCCTTCTCCGGGGAGCTCAGCAGAGAGTCAGTGGCCCCCACGGGAAGCCCGGCGGCCTTTAAGGGATCGGTTTCCCCGAGGTAAGGCAAAGGGAAGACATACCTGTCCTTTTTGAGCAGGTTCTTGGGCTTGCGCCGGGGTCTGTACTTGTAGTCGGGATGCTCCTTCATGTGCTGCGCCCGCAGCCGCTTGGCCTCGTCGATGTAGGGACGCTTC